TCTAATTTTTGAACTTGATATTGATTAGATACTCTAAAATAGTCTTAAAATTCTTAAAAGATTTTGAAAAATTATCTATTTTATCCGAATAGATTTACTAGAACTTAAATATATATTATTAAAAATATAATATTCTATTCTATTATTTTAATGATTATAAATATAAGGACTTATTTAAATTACTTTTTAGAATATATATTTTTAATTCTATTTTTTAATTAAATTCTTATATCTACTAAAAATAATCATTAATTTCTTAAATAAATCTTTTTTATTTTATTTAGACTTTTTGAAAAAATTAAGATATATAATTTAAATTATATATATAAAAAATGGTTTAACTACTTATACTAATTATTCTAGTATAATTACTTTATTTGAATAGATTATATTTAATATAGTTACTATTAAATACTTAAATCTCTAGTTAAACTAAAAGAATTAATATATGCAATAATTATATCTTATTATATATTATATTTGAGTATTATCAATGTTATTACTAGTATTCTTTTTTATTTCTTTCAAAAAATAAATTTAATATACTCTAGAATATAATTTTAAAGATATTCATATTGATATATTTCTCGTTATTTATATATATTTTATATATATAATTAAAACCTCTAAATAATTCAATAATCATAAATTTATAATAAATATCTTAATAACTCATATATTTCAGATTATCAGGATTTTTGAATTTAATTCTAGTATTAACTTATCTTATTTTTTAAATAGTTTTCTTTATATAAGAAGATATATTATTTATACTACTAATAGTATTATTAATTCTAAAGATAAAATATATATTACTAAGAAAATAATATTTATATTAAATTAAAAAGTTCCTTGATATATTTTCTATATTTATCAATTAAGGATATTCTTCATATTATTTATTATAAAAATAATTATTATAAATATAAACAGTATACTACTAAATCTAATAATATTATTAATATTCCAGAAATATATATATACATATACTAAACTAATAATATCTTCTACCTCCTAGAGTACAGCTTTATAAAAAAATTCTTTTTAAATAATTTTATAAATATTATATTTTTCTACTTATCTTATACTATTAATAATAGTATACTTTTTATATTTTTTAAAGCTAGAGAGTTCTCTAGAAAATTTAAAAATTTATTCTAAGATTATTAATATTTATATTTATATATAAATTCTGTATATTTCTTATATATAAAGTATATATTAGATATTAAGAAAATTTAATTTTTACAAATTTCTTTAAATTATTAGTAAAAATATTATATCTTATAAACAAGTTAATATTCTAAAATATTCTTAATATTAATATAAAAAAGTTCATTTATCATTAGATAATATATTATAAAATATATATATTAATATTAGTTATAAAAATAATTAAAATAATAGTATTAATTTTTTTATTTTCTTTATTTAATTATGTAATTAGGATTAAAATATCTTCTTAAAAAAATTTTTTTAACAGAATATAATAATTTGAATTTTCTATAAATATTGAGAATTTTATACATTTTTAATAAATGATTCTTTTCAAAATCTATTTTTAAATCTAATATAATATTTCAAATTAAAATAATATATTAAATAATATATTAAATAATATCTATTCTTTTATTATTAAAAATATTTTTTAAATAGAAATAACTATTAGAGAAATTAGTAAAATATGATATAATTAAATGATATAAAATATATCATAAGATAATATCTAGAGATTTATTTAATATTATATATTTTTTAAAAATTTTATAATGTAATTCATAATACCTAGAAATAAATACTCTAAAAATTTAGAAATTTAAAAAAATAAAATTAATATTATAGAAATAACTAATAACTATTTAAATATAAATATAAACAATAATCTATATAATCCTAACTTATAAAAAAGATTATAAAAATATTAATAAGAGATTTTTCAGTAATAAAATTAATAGTTTCAAAATTTAAATTAAATATTGTAAAACTAAATATTTTAGAACTAGTTATTTTAGTAATAGTTTAATTAACTTTCTTGGTATTAGTTTAGTTAATAATTTAATTAATAATATTAAAAATAAAAATTATTTATTGAAGATCTTAATTTGAAAAGTCTGTTTTTGGAATTGTAAGTTAAATAATTTTATGATATCATTACTTATCTATAAATAAACTAGGTCCTGTTTACCCTTGGTTAACTACTTCAAATTAAAAAACTAAGTATAATAGAGGTAAATAATACATAGATTATAAAAGTAGTTCTCTGATCATTTAAGTACTCTTTAATAGATGATTAAGTAAGTAACCAAGTAAGTAATTAAACAAGCAATTAAAACAGTAACATGATCAGTAAGTAAAGTGGCCCATGTAGGCGAGTGGCCTATGCCTAACTCTGTATTCTATCTAAAATAATCATTATTTAAAGCTAGACATATTAACAATTATAATACCTAAGAATCTTAGACTTTAATATATGGTGAACAAGTATATTCTTTATATATAAAGTCTTTTCTAGAGACTAAAAATCTATATTTCTTATATTATTTAGATTTTTTCTAAGTAATGAAAATTACTAAAAATATATATATTTAGGTTATTAAAATAATTATATACTGTTCTAAAACAATATTAGATAATTATAGTACTCTGAAACTTAATTCTAGAGTTATAAAAGATACTTATAAGATATAGTTAAGATATTCAGTTTATAAAAATAGCTATTTTATATGGAATACAGAGTTGGGCTACTTGCCTACATGGGCCACTCGCTTACTGATTACATTAAGTCTTCTTACTAAGCATCTCTCTCTAAGTAATATAATTAATAAGTAATTAGTATATATAAGTAAGCAGTATAGAACTATATATAATACTAAATCTAGATATTTTGAACTTATATAATTTAATAATAAGAATACTTAAAATTCTAAATAAATATATTATAAAGTAATATATCAATTCTTTATGAATCTTATTTATGAATATTTATATATTTTTAAATTATTTAAAAAAATAATATATTAAAAAATATACTATACTTTTCTATATTAAGTTTTATTAAACTTTAAATTAAAAATTCTTAATATAAATACTAATTTATAACTATATAAAACTGTATATAAGATTATATAGAATAATATACAGAATAAATAAAGATATAAGAGATTAAAAATAATTATTTTATATAGGAAATACAGTGCACTGCTGGCTTATATACACCACTCACTTACTAATTACATTAAACAAGTTAGTAAATAAGCAAGCAAATAAGCGAGGCAGCAAGACCTCTTACTAAGCACCTCCCACCAAGCACCTCCCATCAAGCAAGTAAGTAAGTAAACAAGCAAGCAAGGCCTCTCAGCAAGCATCTTTGTTGGTGGATTACGAAAGGAAGGAATGACTAAGAACGAGATGATTGACTGACTAAGGGAACACTCGGAGTCGGGGAGGAACTACGAACGAGGGGAGAGATGAGCCGGAGCAGGTCACGTGGCATCCGACAAATATGAATTGTTTCCTTTTATATTTATTAGTATTTTTATTATATCTATATATAATATTACTTTACAGGGATATTGAAATTGCTGAACTAGTATATACAGTAATTCTTGACTTAACTAAGGATTCTTGTTACAGCACACATCCTGGTAACAATTTCAAATATTTACTACTGTACTATTAGATAAAAACTAGTATATATAGTTGATATATATACTAGTTATACTATATATAAAGTTTATTTAAATTAGGAATTAGGTAGAAAATAAATTGAAATAGTTAATTTGAACTATATTATAATAGTAACTCCTTTTTTACAATATTACTTTTTTAATAATAAGATAAATAAATTGAATAGCTTAAATAAAATAACTTTAAACAGATTCAGCAGAAATATAAACAAGAATTTCTTATATATTCTTAATCAATAAAGATGAGTTTCTCTATAATAATAATAATAATAATAATAATAATAACAATAATAAAGGTATAAATTAAACTTCTATAAATACTAGTTATAGATTCTGCTACAGTATATATTTATAGTAATTATTTAAAATATCTATTCATATATTATTAGATAAAAGACTAGTATATATAATTAATATATATACTGGTTATATTATTTATAAGGGTTATTAGGACCAGGAATCAGGCAGGAATCAGGTAGGAACAGCTGGCCGCAGCCATACTGTGACAATTCTGTTATTCTGTTCTTCTATCATCTTCTATACTGTCTTAGTAGAAGACTTCTTAGACCTCTAAGTTTTAATTAATCCTAGATTTCTTGTTCTGATCAATCTCCTTACTTACTTCTCAGCTTATGCTATTAACCACCATAATATAGGATTTAGTAAGAAAATAAGAGTTAATAAAAATACATAATTTATAATTTAAAAAAACTAGTTTAGTTCTTATAAATATAAAAATATATATCTAAAAACTAGATATATTATTAAATATGCTAGAAATAATAAATGTAATAATATTTTGAAATAAATAATAATTTTGATTACAGAGAAAGGGAAAAAGGGAAAAGAAAAATTCAGAAAGATGAAGCAAATAATAGAAGCTCTTAGAACTACTGAAGATAATTAAAAAAGTAGTTAAATACAGGAGGCAGAATATTAGAACTGCTATATTATAGAATTAGATTTATATAAAGTTTACTAATAGATAAGGATTATAATGAAATATAAATAGAAAATAATTCTGTATATAATATCTAAATCATTAAAATATTTGATTTTTTGTATAGCTAAAAATATACCATTAAATAGAGTTGAAATACAATTATAACAAGGATATAGTAATCAATAGTTTCTTTTAACTATATTTGAAAAAAAAGCATCTATACGATGTTGTTTTTATAAGGTGCTACTAGCGCATTCCCGAGAGGATGTGGGGCGGTCAGAGACGATGAATAAATATAAATTGGAAGCGGGGTTAGTTTACCGGACGCGCTTTTATCGCGGTTTAGACGCGACACGCGTCACCTGCTACCGCATTTGCCCGCTGTCTCGATCACCATACTACAATTCTCAGCTACAACTATTCAGGATCGCACGTTGTTCGCTGTGTTAACTTTGTCCCCCTCGCCCGACCCGAACTTACCATACATCACGTTCAGCTGATAGTTGCGTCCAAAAGCAGTTTTCAAAGATGGCTTCTGATCCAGCATCGCAGGTCTCTATTGGGGCCCTCAGGTGTGATATTTCCTCCAAGTATCATGTTCAGTCACTGATCTGATGTTGTAAAGTGCCATTTTTGATGACAGCAAGCCTCAAACACGGGAACCCATAGTTCAGTGTGTTCAAATCAAGCCATTGCCGCCCCAGCAGAACAATCAAGAACGTTTCAGGGCTGTGTTCAGCGACATCTCCAATTACGTCCAGACCATGCTCGCTACCCGTGAGTTTTATTGCCTCGTATCTTCATAGCGGCTATTTCATGTACCTTTGCTAATTCAAACTCCCCCGTCACCCAGAACTGAACCACAAGGTGACGAGTGGTCTACTCCGCAAAGGGTGCTTCGTCCGATTGAAATCATTCCAGGCAAATGCCGTCAAAGGGAAAAAGTGTGTTTACCGAAACGCACCTGTCGTCCAAGGCTGACCTCTATCACAGAATCCTCATAATCCTCGACTTGGATGTTCTTCAAGACCTTGGTGAGAGTGACAAACTTGGAGAACCGCAACCGTTAGAGAACAAGGGAGAAGATGAAGAAAAGCCCCAACCAACAACAATTTCAAGTAATGGGTTTTATGGCTCCAAGCCTCAAGTTACATCGGCACAGCTGAACAGCCGCACGCAAACACCGCGACTAGCATTACCTTCGGCTCATACTACTATCTACCCAATTGAGGCCATTTCCCCATATTCGCACAAGTGGACAATCAAAGCTCGCTGTACTAGCAAGTCGAACATTAAGACCTGGCACAACAGGAATACTGAAGGCAAACTATTCAGTGTCAATTTGCTGGACGATAGCGGCGAGATTCGCGCAACGGGGTTCAATGACCAGTGCGATATGCTTTATGATGTTTTCCAGGAAGGTGGTGTCTATTATATCTCGAACTGCCGTGTTCAAATCGCCAAAAAGCAGTTCACGAATCTTAATAACGACTATGAACTCACTTTTGAAAGAGACACTATTGTTGAAAAGGTATGCATGTTTATATATCCAGACTGAGGACAATTCGCTAATAATCGATTCAGGCGGAAGACCAGAGCGATGTTCCACAAGTGCGCTTCAATTTCACCACTATTAGCGATCTTCAGTCGGTGGAGAAGGACACCACCATCGACGTGATTGGTGTGCTGAAAGAGGCTGGGGAGGTCTCACAAATCGTCTCGAAAACCACCAATAAGCCCTACAACAAGCGCGAACTGACTCTAGTTGACAATACGGGGTTCTCAGTTCGGTTAACTGTCTGGGGATCCACGGCACTGAACTTCAATGCCTCCCCCGAGTCAGTCATGGCTTTCAAAGGAGTCAAAGTATCCGATTTTGGAGGCCGAAGCCTAAGCCTGCTAAGCTCGGGTTCTATAACTATAGACCCAGATATTGAAGAGGCTCACAAGCTTAAGGGCTGGTACGATGCGCAAGGCAGAGATGGGGTTTTCACATCGCATGCGTCCATGTCGGGCATGACGACATCCGCAGCTAGGTCTGATCAGTTCAAAACCATAGCTCAGGTCCGAGAAGAGCAGCTGGGCATGTCCGAAGAGGCAGTCTACTTCTCATTGAAGGCGACCGTTATCTACATCAAGCAGGACAACCTATGTTACCCCGCCTGCCTTTCAGAAGGCTGCAACAAGAAAGTCACGGAGCTTGACCCTGGCCAATGGCGTTGCGAGCGTTGTGACAAGACGCACCCACGGCCAGAATATCGCTACATAATGCTTGTCAATGTTAGCGACCACACTGGTCAACTTTGGTTAAGCTGTTTTGATGATGTCGGAAAATTGATGATGGGCACAACTGCAGATCAATTGGTGGAGCTGCGACAAATGGATGAAAGAGCAGCTGGTGAACTGTTTCAAGATGCCAATTGCCGTACGTGGAATTTCCGATGCAGGGCCAAGATAGATCACTTCGGTGACCAACAGCGGTAAGCTTGACCTGCCATGAACATCAGTAGACCCGATGACTAATTTATGCTCTACCTTGGATTTCCAGAGTTCGGTACCAGGTATCATCAGCCAGGCCAATCAATTATTCTGAGGAGGCTTCACGCCTGGCAGAATTGATTGACTCGTATACCTTGTCTTGAAAGGCTCTGGAAACGCGGCTACAAATAAATTTGAAGTCATGCTTCCTTAGTCCGACCGGTTTCTAAGTAGTCTTGTGCCTGCCACATTTTCTTTTTCATCTACCATAGGACTCGTTCAGGGCCCGCTCGAGGTTTCAAGATACAAACGTAGGTGTCTATCCCTGTTTACCAGATCAATACCAATTCAAATCTGGCCCAGATTTTGTGGGTCCAGTAGAGTGTGCTTGTGACTATAGTTAGTTAGTAGTTAATTAGTTAGTTGACATATTACTTCATTATGACTAACATAATCAGTAAGTGAGTGGCACGTATAAGTGAGTAGCGCAGAGCTGTATTTAGTATTAAATCTAGATATTTTAAACTTATATAATTTAATAATAAGAATACTTCAAATTTTTAAATAAATATATTATAAAAGTAAGTATATTAATTTTTCTAAATCTTTTTTTAGAAATATTTATATCTTTTTTTAAAGAAGTTATTCTAGAAAAAGAATAAAATATAAAAAATATACTATATTTTCTGTATTAAGACTTATTAAGCTCTAAATTAGAAATTCTTAATTTAAGTACTAAGTTATAGCTATATAAAGCTGTATATAAGATTATATAGAATAATATCCAGAATTGGTAGAGATATAAGGGATTAAAAATTATTATTTTATATGGAAAATACAGCGCGCCGCTGGCTTACACGCGCCACTCGCTTACTGATTACGTTAATCTGCCATGTCGATTACAAATCTACGGCGATGCCATTTAGTTACCATCAATCCAATAAGCGGTTAATCGATATCTATATTCCGAAGCCTTGATCCTGTCAATCGCCTAGCAAGTGTTTTCTCTAATTATGAGTGCCACCATGAGAGCGATCGGTTCGGATTCCCTGTACACTCATGACTTGATCGATTTCCGCTTGTTAACCACACACAGGTGTGAAAGGAGGGAGAGGGAATGCCGATGCCCTCTTCATTGAAGAGATCCCCGTTCCAAAGCCGAAAAGTGGCGATGCCTTAGTTAAAATCAAGGCATTTGGTTTGAACCGAATGGATCTGTTGCAGCGGGAGGGAAAATACCCCGTGCCCCCCCAAGCTCCCAGCACCATGGGAGTAGAATTTTCTGGTGTGATTGAAGAACTTGGAGCTGAAGGTTGCAATGACTTTCGTGTAGGCGACGAGGTCTTTGGTCTAGCCTATGGTGGTGAGTAAGTCCTTGTGCCCCGGTTTCAGAATTGACTGGTCGTTGCAGGTGCATATGCCGAATACATTGCCGTATCGACAAATATGTTGATACATAAACCGTCTGAAATGACTTGGGTAGAGGCAGCAGGGATACCTGAGGTAAATCCGTGTTCTCTTTAGATTACAGTCACTGTCTGACATGCCCATGCTCCCACAGACCTGGATCACAGCGTGCCAGGCTCTGTACTTGATCGGTGGCCATACTCCGGGCAAATCTGTTCTTTGGCATGCGGGAGCCTCGTCGGTGTCGATAGCCGGGATTCAACTCGCTCTTAACAGTGGCGCATCTGCTGTTTATGTAACTGCTGGATCCCAGGAGAAAATCGACTTCTGTGTCCGTCAATTGGGTGCTACCGCGGGGTATAATTACAGGAACCAGACTTGGGATTCGGAGATCTTGAAGGTGACTAATGGTCGTGGCGTTGATGTTGTGATCGATTTCGTTGGCGCGACACATTTCCAGGGCAATTTGAATGTAGCGGCAAAAGATGCCCATATCGTTCAACTCGGACAGATGAGTGGCTCGATTCTCCCTACCAATGTTGACATCAGCGGGATCTTAATGAAACGACTGAGGTTCGAGGGCAGCACACTACGGAGCAGAGATGAACAATACCAAAAGCAACTGCGTGATATCTTGGTTGATCAAGCGTTGCCAAGATTCAGGAATGGTGCCTTCAAAGTTTATGTTGAAAAAGTCTTCTCATTTGAGGACATTGCAAATGCTCACAAGCTGCTTGAGAGCAATCAAACCAAAGGAAAGATAATATGCACTGTCAACTGATCAATGATATCGATTATTCCAAGTCACAGCTTAGCTTTCAAGGGCTTACCAATGGGAGTTAAGCACATCCGGCACCAATTACAGATTGTTTGAACCAGTGCACTGGAACCATGACGATTTCACTAATTCCCCTCTGCTGCAACTACCTAACTACCTATATAGTCATTACTTAGTACCTCGTGCCAAGCTGTAGCCAGTATCGGACATTCCCAGTAGTCACAGACGAACAACTCAACCAAGGATCATAGCCCATCGTAGCCTGAGACGGACCCGTATTACTCAATATAGCAAGTTAACCCGATTGGTAGGAACCTACAGCCGCCGACGGTTCAGATTGGCAGGCCCTAAAAAAAAAAGCCCCAAGGCCCAAAGTAAAAGAAATACTCGGGATTTTCCACTGCATACGGCACTTTGGTCGGTCAAACACACTCCCTTACAAAAAATTAGAATCATGGCCAAACGCGAGTTTCAAGAGGAATGTACGGAGCATAAAGTGAAGAAGTCCAAGAAAGAAAAGCACGCTGCGAAGGACACCGACGACAAATCTCAAGAAATTGCAGGGCTTGACAAGAAATACACACAGTCACGCGCATTGAGTGAACTGCCAGAATCAGAGATAGATCGCTTCCTCATCGAGAACACGATCAAGATTACAGATACTTCGAAAGATGTTGCCAATCTTCGGCCTATCATATCCTTTTCTCATCTTCCTCCTTGCGATGGTCCACTCTACGATCCTCTGAGCTCTTTCAACTCTCCCACCGCCATTCAATCGGCAACTTGGCCTTTGTTATTCTCTGGTCGCGATGTGATTGGTATTGCTGAGACCGGTAGTGGCAAGACGCTTGCTTTCGGTTTGCCGTGTTTAAAAAAAGTGCAGGATTCGAAGAGGAAAGGCAATAAAAAACCCTTTCAACCCATGGCGGTCATGATCTCGCCGACCAGAGAGCTAGCCAAACAGATCCATGACCAGCTTGTGAAATTTGCAGAACCAATGGGTGTGGAGGTAGCCTGCGTCTTCGGTGGTGTTAGAAAGGACGAACAACGCGAAGCTTTAAAGACTGCGGCTATTGTTGTCGCGACCCCGGGAAGACTGAAAGATCTCCAGAATGACTGCTCGGTGGATCTGGCGAAGGTCAAGTACCTTGTCCTGGATGAAGCCGATCGTATGTTGGACAAGGGATTCGAACAAGATATCAAAGATATCATCCATCCCATGTCAACCAAGCGTCAAACAATCATGTTCACGGCAACATGGCCTCCAGTTGTCAGGGACCTTGCTACCACTTTCATGAAATCGCCTGTCACAGTTACAATCGGCGGGGATCCATCTGCTGACCCTCGTGCGAACACAAGGATCAAACAGGATGTCGAGGTCCTTCAACCACATGAGAAAGAGCCAAGGCTTGTGCAATTACTCAAACAAAATCAGCGGGCGCCCAAACCCCCGAAAGTCCTGGTTTTTTGTCTGTATAAGAAGGAAGCTGTGCGTGTTGAGAGGCTTCTTCGGAACAAGGGTTTCAAAGTTGCGGGAATACATGGTGACCTCAACCAGCAAGAACGATTTAAAAGCCTGGAGGCTTTCAAGACTGGAGCTGCCACAGTCCTTGTCGCCACTGATGTGGCAGCCCGTGGACTCGATATCCCTGCAGTCAAACTCGTTATTAACGTTACCTTCCCACTCACGGTCGAAGACTATGTCCATCGAATCGGGCGGTAAGTCGTTTTGTTATTTATAATGCCGTGTGCGACACCCATTTGAAATCTGACTTACATTCTTTGAAGAACCGGTCGTGCCGGGGCCGAAGGCCATGCCATTACCCTGTTTACCGAGCTGGATAAGGCTCAATCCGGAGGGTGAGTAGTTTATTCCGATCTCATGGACGATCTTTCTTCTTGAACCTGATTCGATTCGCTACGCGAATGAAAGCAGCTGTTTCTGTGCCATAGGTTCGCGCGATGCTGACGATTTGTAGGTTAATTAATGTGCTGAAAGCAGCCAAGCAAGATGTGCCAGAATCTCTTCTCAAGTTTGGCTCCACCGTCAAGAAGAAGCAACATGATGCATATGGTGCATTTTTCAAAGACGTTGACTCCAGCAAAGCAGCAACCAAAATTGTCTTTGACGATTGACAAAAAAATAATTCTAATTTCTTTTGTATTTCCCTTGCTTGAATGTCATCATTTTACTGGCCCTGGTGTATTGTGCTGCCAAGTATTTCCTTTCAACATATGACCTACTCCCATGCATGACAGTTAGATTGTAAGCTTCAGCCAAGTGTCCAAGATTTGCAGAAAAAAAGACTCACACAATAATGAAGTGTATGGCACTGTATGTCACGGTTCCCAAAATGTTCTCTGTCTCAAGTCCGTAGGCTCCTTTTGTCATCAAAACTGTCGACGTTAAGATGGCAGTCACAAAAGTTAGGGGCCGCGGCAGCATCTCGGATGGTTTCATCGCTATTTTGCAACGGTGTAGGAATGACCTAATGAATGCAATACTCCAGATAGTACGAACTGTCATATTCACAATGTTGGCATAGACCACCCCTCGGGCACCCAAGTTACCGGCCACCAAGAATATATAGGCAGCAGAAACAAAACAAGCTGAAAATGCGCCCATCCATAATGCCTGTTTGCGCACTTCCGAAGGACTAGCAGCCGATGAAACGAAAGCCTCACTTATACCATTGAACGCCAAGAACGGTATATAAAGGCAGTAGAGAGATAATAGGCCACACACCTTAGGAGAAGCCCACCTGCGCCCACCTAGCACATTGAGCACTAGAGGAACCAGGGCTGGACCCAACGGGAAGGCTACTGCAGATATCATACTGTAGGCTCGTATGATTTCAGCTAGATGCATCTTAGCAAGATAAATGTTCTCAGTGTGCCTCTTTCCAAGGCTGTTGCTATGAAGCAATGACGAGAAAACCGCCCTACTGCTTTCTTCAATTGGCTGAAAAAGAATGCGAGCTACAAGGCCACCATAGTTTGAGGCCAGGGCATAGATTCCCTGATCTTCTAGGCTTGTCAATGTTGCCAGAATCATGGAATCCCCTTGTGTGAGTAGGTGTTTGACTATCGACTGAAGAAACACACTTGCAGCCAGCGAAACCATTGACCACGGAAATCTGTTACCGAGGTAGCCGTGACGGTTGCTGTCTCAATTAGGCATTATCCTCATATTTGTTCAGAGACCACATACCTCAGCTGTAACCTTGTAAGTAGTAAAGAGAAATTCAGATGCCTTGAGATCTTTCTCGTAGCTATAACATAACCGCATAGAAGCGTACAGGCGTAGCTCAAATGTCCAAGGGCAAAGGCCATGACACCAACATTGGTATTATAGCAGACAGCCCGCATAGATATGAAACAAGTTACCAAACTCTTCATAAATGCAGCACTCATCTCGACGAGTGCACGTTTCCTGTACAGCGTATGCATTTGCAAAACGTTGAAGCATGGCTCACTTGCAAGTTCTAGAAGGGATGCGATGGTAGTAATGACGACACTTTGGTGGTGAAATGGTGTTCGTGAAACTTCATCTGAGGCAAGATGGATGTAAGAGGTACTTAGTACCACTGCAAACATAAGCCCCATTCCGAAACTCAAGTAGGACATGTTGACCACCACTTGTGATTCCAGTTCCTGGGTTATTGACTGCCTGGTGATACCCGATTCCTTGACGGTTGCGTTATTGCCGTCATCGCTTGCCACAGAGGGAGCAGCTACGACAAGCGATTTCCTTTGAATTGCTAACCTGATGCTTTCTCGGGAGAAATACAGTAGTGTAATGTAGTATAGCTCCAGCTGAGTTGCCACCCCTAGAATAGCTGGTGGTAAGTCCCTCAAGATCACTTGATTCGCCGTAAACGTGAACACTTTTGAGGTCAATTGAACAAGAACCAGAAGCGTTGTACCGGAAATTGGTGACGCTAGCACTATGCGAGCTTCGTCATCTATCTGGGACATATTTGAAGGAGATATCGATGAGCCTCAGGGCTGATTGTAATTTGAAGCTAACTGGAGAGGTGAAGTTGAAGACATCGGGATTCGAGGATAAGCAAGGTTATCTACTCTACCTGCCAACCTGGACAACAATCAATCAAATACCACTAAACAGCGGGCTGTTTTACTAGTACAAAACCAAGCTGTTGGCTTCCGTCGACCCAGCAGAGGCGGCTGTTATAGATTGTTTTCATTGGGTATGTAATGTAAATACAGCATTGGCACGCTAGGGCTGCTTTTACTGTCGACATGTCCATGTAGACTACTCCGTAGAGTATCTTTCTTACACATATACTGATCCACTTGCCTCGCGCTAGTCTCTCGGATCTTTCAACCACCGCCCACCCCTATTGGTTTACCAGCTACAGAGCTGTGTACCAAAATTTATGGAACCTTACTAGTAACATTATATATGAATAATAAAATTAAGGAGTAATAATATAAATTATATTTTTTACAAAGAACAGGAATAGTTATAATCTTATTATATAATTTATTAATTATATAGTTTTAATAAATATTTATAACTCTTAGTTTACTTTTATTAGCTTGATATACTTGCCTACCTTTTATATACTAAGTTAATAATATTATATCTGTATAAAGTAATCATAATATACTGTAAAATTTAGTGTTGTTTTATAACTTTTGGTATACAGCTCTGTAGTTCACTACTCCTTCCTGTACAGGTACATATATTTAAGAGAAGGAAGATGTTAAAACTACCTCTTGTATAGATATAGAGAATTATTGTTGGTGCAAGGTGTATAGTTAATACTAGAAGATTATACATATTTAAGGAAGCGGTAACCAGGAGTATTAGTCTAATTAAAAAAGATATTATCTACCCTATATATTCTTATATATAATCATAAATACATCTAAAATTTAAAAACTAGTAGGGTTAATTATATCTTAATTTTCTATCTATAATCTAGTTATTAAGTATCTTAGTTATTTTATTTATATTTTTTATAATTATCTCTTATAACTAGTCCAGCTGCTTAATTTATTATTATAAATAGATTTGATGAGATTTTTGACAAGAAATTTAATATTTTAAATAAAACTTTAAAACTAATAAATAGTAATAAATAAAAGAAAAAAAATAAATTTAATTAGACTTAAAGTTTTTATAACTTAATAATTACTAATATTTATTTTATTATAGCGATTGGGATTTATATATATTTTGATAATATTTTATAAGGCAATAAGAGTATAAAAATATATAATATTATTATATAAATATGTTTATTATTATTATTAAGATTATTAATCATAAACTTATTAATTATTTTAATAAAAAGTAATTAAAATTAATTATATTATATTAAATTTCTAATAATTATTATCTGAAAATGTGTATTAAAATTATTATTTTTATATTTATTTTATTTTCTTATCAGGCTATTAATTTATTAAATATTATTAATTATTATACTTGAAATAACATAAAATTCAATTTTGGTATTAATTTTGATTTAAAATATTTTAATAGATTATCTTATTTTTATTTATAGTTTTGAGTTTTAGAAATTTTATTTGAAATTAAAAAAATTTTAAATTTCTTTTTTATTTTCTAGTTTACATATTTTATAATAATAACTAATTAAATATACTATTTTATGATAAATTTTCAGAAATATCATAATATATTTAGAAATATATTAGCTAAGTTTTAATAGTAGTTCAAAAAGATTATAATTTATTTTTTCTATTTTTAACTTAGGAAATTACTTTAATATATCTAGATAAATATATAATTTTTATAAACTTTACTTATTTTATTAATAAACATATTTAAATTGTTTTATTATATCTGATCATAAAATAGTAGTATTTTATAGAAAAGAAATATTTATTAAATAAAATAAAATTATAATTGTTTTATTTTGTACCATTTGTACTAATAATCTTTTATTAATATATTAGGAATAGGTTTTACTTGATTTTTTCTTTTTTTTAGCTCACAAAATACAATTTATATATTAATAAAATAAATTTGATAATATTTTAATAATATTATATTTATTCTAAAAAGAATAAAATTATTTCTTTAAATATTTAGATTATTCTAATTTTTAGATGTTAACTTTAATTTTATTTATTATTTTTATTATAGAAATAATCTTCTAAATAAAAATAATAAGATTCTTTTACTTAGTATCCGTAAATAGTTAAATAAGAATATAATATTTCTTTTCAATAATCTAGAATAAAGAATAAAGAAACTATTAAGTTTTATTATGATAAAATAAGAAACTAGAAATTAAATAAAGAAATAACTAGTCTTTAACTATAAAACTAATTTTTAAATATCTTATATCTCTTAAGATATAAATATTTTAATTATATATATTATCAAAGAAGAGGAAATTAACTATAAATAATATAAATAAATAGATTAAAAATCTATTCAGATAGTGAAGACCAGTAATACTAGATAAAACTACTCCAGCTATTTTATGATATAATAAAATAGAATATATTAATAACAATAGAATAGAATATATAGTTAGTACTAGTAATGAAATCAGAATACGTAATATTATTAATTTTAATAGTAATATTTTTAAGAATATTTTAGAATATATGAAAAAGAATGATATAATAATATTTAATGATCTTAAATATTTCTACTATTCTATACTGCCTTTAATAAAATACTTAATTAAGAAACTCTATTCCAGAAACTCCCTCAGAATAACTATTATCTATTTATATTTTTATCGAATAACTTTATTTTAAATATACTATTTTTAAATAATTAATAGTATATCCTAGTCTCTAGACCTATATTATATATATTTCTAAGAGATAATCTAATTCTTTTTAATATTTTTCTACTACTTTTGTATTATCCTTATTATTTCAATATTAAGAATATATTATTCTGTATTTTTCCTAGTATTGCTTTTTATATAATTATTAGTTTATAGTTTTTACTAGGTTAGTCTATTTTATTTATCTAAATTATAGATTATTAAACTTGTTACGTTTTACTTTTATTATTGAATTTTAAATCTAGTTATATAATTAGCTACTTTAATTTATATACATTAATATTTTTTCTTTTTAGTAAAACTAAGGAATTACTACCTTTTATCTATTTTAATATTAATTTCCTTATTTTTTTACTAAAGTGTTTATTTGATTTAAGTTTTTAATCTATCTATTTTTATATTCCATAATATATCTTATTTTCTATTATTGATTCTTTTTATTATATTTATCAAGTTATTAGTTTTTTTATAATATTTTAAATTAAAATTAATTAATATACTAATTAGTATATGTATATAAAGATACTTTAAATAATTCAAATCTTGAATTAATAATAAGATTTTTTAAATTATATTATATGATATTTATAATACTATTCTCTATTTATATATAAGTTTATATATATTTAGAAACCTAGAATATTACTAAACTAGATATATAATTTATAATTAACAATTTTCTCTATTAAATTATTGATTTTCTTTATTAAACTATTAAATTCTTTTAATTAATCCAAATTACAATTTATATTCTAGATATCTTCTATATTAATAGTATTAAACTATTTTACTATATCTTGAATAATATCATTTAAATTATCATTCTAAAGATTAAATACTTTAGTAAGATTATTATAATGTTTTATAACTAGTAATTATAAAAGATTTCTATTTAAAGCCTAATTTGTTATAAATTAAAAAATCTATAATTAGATTAATTATTCTAGAGTATTTATCTATTCCTAAATTAACTATATTATGTTTTATTTTATAATATAAATACTTATTTACTGATTTAAATATCTTATATATTTTTTTTATTAAGTTCAAGTATATATTTTTATTAAAAACTATTTCTATACTTACTATATCTTTATCTAGTATGTTTTTATATCTTAGATTTAGAAATATACTTGTCTAAGATTCAACTAGAGCTGAATTTATAAGATATTTATTATATATAATAATTTCTTTCAGTTATTATAATACTCCTATAAATAAATATCTCAATTAAAGCAATTAATCTAATTTCTTATATTAAGAATATAAGTAATTTTATTATTATTTAGGAATAAGTTATATGGGGCTGTAACAGTGACTATAATTTTGATTATATTTTTTAATTATAATTTTAGACTAATAAAAATACAGTATTTAATATACTCCGAGAGAGATTTAATAAAATAAATATAGATATATAGAATATAAATTTATGATCATTCTAGTTTTAAAATATTATATTTATTTTAATTTTTTTGGTTTTCTGGTTCTTTTTTTTTCTTGAATTAAAAATTTAGTAATGCTGGAAATGATCTATATTAATAGAATTTTGAATCTTAAAATCTAAACCCTGTTCTAGATTTTTCTAAAACTAACTAAATATATATAATATATACAAAAATAAGATTAAAAAAGATTAAATGCTTTATTCTAATATATAACAAAAATATCAATATATTTATTAAGAAAATTAAAAATATAGTTTAATATTATGAAGATATAATAGTTAAATTAAATATATATATATATATATATATATATATACATATAAAATAATTCTTATATAGCATATTACTGGTTTAACTAGATATAAAAGAATATTTTACAACTAGAGTTACTTTTATTAATAAATAGTTACAAAAGGTCACTAAAAAAAATAAAATCTAGTTTATATATTATAATAATTAAGATAAATATTATACGATATAATATACCTAAGATTTAAATAAATCAATATATTAAATAACTTATACAGAATATTACCTAATATATCTAAATTATCTAGTTAAACAATCTGCTTGAATTAATTTACTTGTTTTTAAAACTATATTAGTTCATAATTATATATATAATTTAATTATATTCTTAAAGACATTATTATTAATAAATTATTTAAAGCCTTAGATTAGTAAATATATGATTAAAAACATCAAATATCAATTATCTCATAAAACTAAAAATATTCTAATAATTTTTTCAAGAATATATTTAAACCTTAAGAGTTCTATTGTAACAGGTACTGTAGGGCT